CCGCAGCGACAACTGCCTGGGCTGGGGCTGTGGCTGGTGCTGGGAAAGACCCGCCGCCGCACAGCTCGCGAGATGCGACTGCAACTTTGCAACTTTTTTTTTAACATCTTTGCCAATGTGCGAATGTGGCTTAAGCAAATATTGGCCGGGTCGGCGCAAAAAGTGTGTCAAGCCGTGTGTCGTCGGTTGTTTGCCAAGAAAAACAAAAGCGGCCAGTGTGGCCAGCTGTTGAAATAACACAGCTCCGGTCTTTTATTCTTTGCGACTACAAAAGAAATTGCATAACAAAGGCGCTAGGAAATAGCCGAGATAGAGTGAGACTAAAAAAACACCTTAAATTTATGCCTAAACATTGGCAAAAGCGCGAAAAAGGAAAGAAATATTTCAGTGGCTCAGTTTGCGGTACCACTTCCTCGTGTTGGCCAACCAGCCGGCAAGTCAGTTGGCCAATGCAATTGGCAATACCTATTTAATGAGCACTTTGCTGTGGCTACTGCTGGCCAGAGTCTCAGCTGTGGCTACTCCGATTCGCTGCCAAGGTTAATTAAAATGCCAAACAGCTTCAACTGTGCTTTTTATGCATGCTTACGCTCTCCCTCTCTCTTTAGCTCGCTCTCTTTGTGTTTCTCTCTGGTTTTTGTAATCGCGTGTTTTTAATTTTTCAGCTATTGTTTTATAAGCCAACAATTATTTCGGCACCAACATCAACGATTGTATAACTCCCCAAAGACTTATCAAAATTATCACGAAACATTTTAAATCTATAAACATTATGCACAGGCGGAAAAAGAAGACAGCGAGCGTACTCGCGACGCTTGTATGCCGTCATACGTTGCGTATGCGTAATACGTGACTCTGCCAACTGCTGCGTCACATTCAGCTGGCATTCTAAATCAACCAATGAACACTCAATGATGTTTATCATATTTTATCGTCGCGTTCTCGAAACAATTTAAAAATTTACATTTTAGCTCCTCTGCAATTTGCCTTTGCGTGTTAATAAAGAAATTGTAATTGGCAAGCGAAACTGCGTGGGCGGCGCCTTTTTGATGGGGCCCGGCGCATGGCAATCAAATTAGTTACGAAAAGTAATTATTGCCAAAAAGGAAACATTTCAATTCATCACCTTGAAATTGGCTGTTCATCAACATTTTTAATAGTTTTATAGTTTAGGTTTTAGATCTAAAACTTGAAGAGCGATGATTTTTAGTTAAAATACTTTTATAATAACTTATCTCCAGTACCATGTTGTTCCACAGCGTGTTAGGACACAAGTGATTTTTTGTATCTCTTAACTTAAACTTAATAAACTTTTTTAGCCGTTGTTAGATCACTTCTACGTATACTTTTTGTTTACTCATATTTTCTACAGATTTATCTGTCCTCCTGTGAAAGTTCTGCACTCTCATATTCACATTATCAACCTCAATTGCTGTTTATTCAATTTGTCTATTTGTTGCCAATTCTCAAATATTTCTTTGTCATCTAAAGGCAATCAAAGATTTCTTTAAAATGTGAACTTTGCACTTCATTCATAGAGTCAACCGCTGGCTTATTAAGTCTATTGCCATCGTAGTCTTCCTTGGCAGCTCATAAAATGCCTGAGCACAACAATTTAGTGAGCTAGAGCTAGGAGTCAACCGCAACAGGCGGGTGCTGGTCGCTGGGTGTTGCAAGCAGCGCAGACTATGCAGCTTGTTTAACTTGTTGATGCTATAAATTAAAATTCATTAGCCCAAATTGCTGTGGTTAGGGCCGGCAGACGATGTCGCAGCTGGCAAACGAGGTGGCTCCCACCTGAAGCCGCAGAGTTATGCAAATTGGAAAAGCAGGCGTCGTCGTATTAAAAAGGGGCAAGAGTATGGGTCGACTGCGGGCTGGCAGCTGGGGTGCAGCAACTCAATTTCACACTGCCATGATTTGCACTTGCGATTCTAATGGAATTTCTTTTGGTTTCTCTCTTTGCTGTCGTCGTGGATAGCCAAAATTAATACGCAAATACGGATATCCGTCGGAGACGCATACAGTGGTTACCAAGGATGGCTACATACTGGAAATGCATCGCATACCAAAGAAGGGTGCACAGCCGGTGCTACTTATGCACGGCATACTGGATACCTCAGCGACCTGGGTGCTAATGGGTCCCAAGTCAGGATTAGGTGATCATCTATATAGCTCTCTTTATATTCATATATTCATGCTGATCATCTTCACTTGCAGGCTACATGCTCTCCGACTTGGGCTACGATGTTTGGATGGGCAATTCGCGCGGTAATCGCTACTCGAAGAACCACACCAGCCTTAACAGCGACTATCAGGAGTTCTGGGACTTCACGTTCCATGAGATGGGCAAATACGATCTGCCAGCCAATATTGACTATATACTCAGCAAGACGGGCTACGAGCAGCTCCATTATATTGGGCACTCGCAGGGCACGGCCATATTCTGGGTGCTCTGCTCCGAGCAGCCAGCCTATTCACAGAAAATCACCTCAATGCATGCACTGGCGCCCATTGCCTACATTCACGACATGAAGAGTCCGCTGTTTCGCACTCTCGTATTATTTCTCGACTTCCTAACGGTAAATTGTAAATATCGTGCATTCGCAGCGATTCGATTTAAACCAATTTCTTTTTTTTCCCTCTCTCTTTTCATTTGGCTTTGGGTGCTCTTATTTCGCAGGCAGCGACGCGAATGCTGCGCATCACAGAATTCATGCCCAATACGAAATTTCTGGTGGACCACAGCCAGGTTGTGTGCCACGACAATGCCATGACGCAGGATGTCTGCTCGAATATCCTGTTTTTAGTCGCTGGCTACAATTCCGAACAGCTCAACAAGGTAATGTGCCCACCGGCCATCGGCCGATGACTCCCAGCATCCCATCTTCATGCAATTTCTGCGTGTTTTTTTCCAAAAATGTTTGCGGGCATCGATTTGAATTCTCCATTTGCCCAGATTCTATAAGCGCTCTTCTTGCTGTTGTTGTGCAGCTCTATTTGGGATTGTGTTCATTAAGTTGGCACTTCATTTGGCTACCCATTGCGGTACTTTGAGTGTGTTTACTGTCGATGCGATTAAGTGGCAGGCTCTGGACCAGCTGTAGCCAGCCTAACAATCGGTTTGAAAAGCGAATAAAAAAGAGAGGATATACTTTAGCATATTGAAAGGGAGACTATAGTTAGACCAAATAATGCATAATTAATTTAGTGAATGCAGCCCTTTCCTTCCATTCTTTATCTCTATCAGATAGAGTGGAAGACATCTCCTCTTTACTCTTTTTTATATCTGTCTAATTCACTCTCTTGCTCTCTCATAGTCTCTCTCTCTCTCTCTCTCTCTCTCACTCTCTCTCACTCTCTCTGTCTTCCATTTATACGCCTCAGGTAGACATCATTAAGATAATCTCATTGTATACAACTGACAGTTTTAATGCCCTCACAGATTTGAAGTTATGTCCCACATAATGGAATGGTCCAAGCTTAAGTAACATTCAAAGCTTAACAGCAGCTGCATGTTGTGTATGTATAGGTTGCATAGAATGGTGTTATTATCCATAATACCATTGACTGCCGCCACTTGTCCCTGTCATTGACGTCGTTGTTGCTATTGTTGTCCGCTTGGGGCCAAATGAACTTAATTAACTGATAGAGGCAAGCGGTAAGCGCTGAAACGCCAACTAAGCGACAATGCACGCAAATTAGGCGGAATTTCTAACCCATGAGCCCATGACCTTGTCTCTAGTCCCATTTTGTATAGGCACACGTTTAGGCAGGAGGATTTCAGATGGCATCAAGTGCAACAGTTCGTATACGCAATATTTGTGTAGAGCAGTAGAAAAAACTAAACAAGAGTGATACCATTTCCAAATATAAGCCATAATATTCATTAATATTTACTCTTAGACTATGCTGCCCGTGATGCTAAGCCACACACCGTCTGGAGCCTCGATCAAGCAGCTGGAGCACTTTGGGCAGCTGATGAAGTCGGGACACTTTCGTAAGTTCGATCGGGGCTATTTGCGAAATCAGCTGGAGTACAATCGCATGACGCCACCAGACTACGATCTGTCACGTGTTAAGGTGCCAGTGGCGTTGTACTACTCCGTGAATGATCTGCTTGTGTCGACGACGGGCGTGGATCGACTGGCCAGGGAGCTGCCAAACGTGATAGACAAGTATCTGGTGCCGATGGAACGCTTCAATCACTTGGACTTCTTGTGGGCCATCGACGTGAAGCCACTGGTCTACAATCGTCTGGTGCGGAACATACGACGCGTGGAGAATCACAGAGCCAAGCTGACAGCCAATTTGGCCAGCTTCCTGGCCATGCAGCTGCAGCGTCAGCAGCAGCTTCAGAATCAAATACAAATGCAGACACAACTACATTCAGCTTTGCCGCCCAATGTTCACTTGCCTCACCATATCGACCAGGACTTCATGATGCCAACTCCTACTGCAACACCAATAGCAACAACAACAACAGCAACAGCTGCAACTGCAACAACAGCAACACCGACAACGACGACGACAACAACACAGGAAACGGCAACCACAGCGGAGGATGTGCTGGAGTCGACAACAACAATTCCATTCGAATTCAGCGCGTGATTTGCCCTCTGATCCAGGTTCAAGGGCAAGGTTCTATAACTTGTGTAATTTCATTTGACTGTGATGACATTTTAACAATTTACGCTCTGATCCCAGCGTCTGCCTCCGACGGCCTCCCTTCGGATCCACAGATGCAACTACATCAACTCAGGCACGCCCAGCATCCAATCACATTTAACTCGTATTCTTGTCTAGGCGCACGCACACAATTCTCTTCCACTCATCCGACAAGACAACAAAATACTGGAGCCCATTCGAAAACTCTATTTACCAGATTTTACCTAGTAACTACTTTCGATGTTGCCCCCTCTGCAAGCGTTTTATTTATGTATGTGTACAAATTTATGTATTTTTAATAATAAATATATTTTTTAAGATAATTTGCTGTACTTTCATTTATTTATTTAGACAGGTTTACAATTGTTTGATAAAATACTAAAAAAGTAATAAAGAGCTGGGAAAATGCAGTTCACTGGGTCTCATATTTAATGTTCTATTGGATAAAAGTGTTGTGTATTGCATCCATAATCGGCTTATGTTCAGGTCTCTCATTATGTCTAAGTTTCATGCAAATGGGTATCCACCTGTGAGGCGTGTTAGAGCTCTAAATTCCGTTGCTTGAAGTTTCCTTATTCAATGGAAAGCTGTCATGCCTACAATTAGGCTCTATCGTAGTCTTGTATAGTTGGAGCTTACTGCTTCCACTGGTAGTTTGCAGATCTGTCGTAAAAAACATAAATATGGAACACATATTTATACAAATAATTAAAAATAATTAAATACAAATTAATTAAACAAATATTTATATATTAAAACTAAATTTCACATTTGATATATTCAGTTCAAGTGTGCTCAAGAAATCGAAATCGAACCACGAAGTCGTTTTTCATACACAAAAGTGCAAAAACTCATTTAATATTTCAAGTTGCACACAGTTAAAGAGTTAGGTATTCACAGTAATCTTAATCAAGAAAATATATGTGTTGAGAGCTCATGCATTACAGGCAACAGCAGCAACAGACAAGATCACCTAAGGCAAAGTTTATTTCAGACTTTAAAAAAATTAGATAAAAGTTATTAAGCTACAAGAAAATGTTTAATATATAAATAAATGTTAAAAACTCCTATGTCTGAATGTCTTTTTAAAACAAGATAAAAAATTAATTGTATAAATTGAAACAATTTAATAAGTATGCAATTGCTCGAAACTGGCGGCGCCTTAAAGTATGCAATGAAAATGAGTGCGCGTTTCTTGCGCGTTTTAAAACGCGTGCTCGACGCACTAAGCTTTTGACTGTTGCCACAGTTCAGCCAGCGCTGAAATATTGCATTTGAGCAAACAGCTCGACGTTTAATTGCAACTTAAAATGGAACTCATTTCGACAGGCAGCGCGAAAAGTTTATGCGTCGCAGCGGGCAGGCGCCGCGGGCTGGCGCCTCCAGGCAGCCGTTGCAAGATGCCAAGCTCAACTGTGTTTTTATGCCACTATCCTGGCCCCCAGAGTTGCGCATTTCAGCGACAGACTGCGGCTGCATGGCAAACGAATTGCCATCATTTGTTGTCGTCTTTAGAGAGTGGCAAAAGCAACGCAGCCGTAGGAAGTACGTCCAGGACTTTGGCTGCTTTTATATTGCGTTGCGTATCAACTGTGTGCAAACTTACCTGGCGCACTGTCACTAAATAAACACGCAAATAGCCGCATTGCTTGACGGGGATAAAGTCGAAAGTCTCTTCATTTTATCAGCAAGCCGCCAACACTCTGCCCAGCCAGCAAAATACGAAATATTGATTCTACGACGACGTTGGTCCGCGCTTGCTCTGTGTGGGGTCGAACTACAATCGTCTCTTATTGAAATTGAAAAAGTTGAGCAATAAAAAAGATATTTTAAATATTGCCTAGTTAACGGTAAACGTGCAATCAACTATATGTTATTTTGTATATATTTAAATATATAATATATAATACTATAAATGGTAAGAATATATAAACTACTATCTTCAATACCAAAGCTTCAGCTGCTGTGTAAGTGTTAATATCTAGCTGTTAAAATAAGATTTGCCATTTGATATTAAATAAGTAATATTTTGTGGGCAGCATAATAACTGTATAAACTATGTATGAAGCAATTTGAGGAGCTTGTTTCAGTGGAGTCCAAAAAATTTCAAAAATTCTAGAAACATTTTGAGATCTAACTATAGAACTTGATTTCGAATTCATCACTTGGATTTGTATGCAACACGATAATTGTAACTCAAATATAATATTTCTATATCATCTATATATCGCTATTACACATCATATTATATAATATACAAAATGTTGAGTACCTAAAAGCCAAGAGCTTTAAGGCCATATATGCGTTGCCTCTCTATTGCTGATGAAATAACAGAAGGATAATAAACGTGCAGCTGCAATGGCGGAATGTGCAACTGACACAAATACAAGTTTAATTAGTGTTTCTGTTGTGCAGCGCACATGTTTGCATTGCCTCTAACTAACTTTTGTAGACAACAAGTTAGACTCTTTCTATTTCCCTCTCTCTCTCTCTCTCTCTACCTCCCACTCCGTCACTTGTTTATCAGACTTTTGTGCACATTTTGTGTTCTCTTTATTTGCCTTTGCGCAAACGGTACAAGTTGCTTCGATTTGCCAGTGCCACGCCCATGTTGTCCTTCAACTGCCTTCCCAACACACTGCTCTTTTCTATCTCACTCTCTCTCGTTGTGTAAACAAGGCATTAAGTACAACAAAATAATTAAAGTCAATTAGTGGTCCTTGCCGTGGCATATTGCGAGTCCTTGGCTTGGCTTTTCAGTTCAGCTGCTTTGGCATATAATGACATTGTGTTAGCCCCTTGTTAATGTCATTAGCTTCAGCCACACAAATACACTGCTACTAGAGAGCATCATAATTCACTTGAAGTTATTGTTAAAGAACTTTGCTCTGACTGCACTTTAAGCATTTATTGCAGAGCTTATCAATTGAAATCCACTTACGGAGCAAAATTAATATTAATTCCGTCGATTGGCAGCTGTTTCATTGCTCTACAAGGGTTTCCCATTAATCAGGTATTAAATTCTGTCAACGCTACGCTCTCTTTTTGCCTTTTTGCTGGTTAATTGAATTGCGAGCACAAACAATACAATTTTAACAATGCTCGAACTCTGTAGGAAAAAAAAACAAATTTTTGTGCGCAATTATAATGCGCTTTTATGTTTCTCCTTTACATCAATCGACATGAAAACTTTTACAAGTGGAAGGTGAATTGCATTTTTAGAAACAGTTGCAAGTTTCAAGTTGTTTGGCAAATTTGTAGCACGAGTAGCGCAAGTGCTGTTCAATGCCAATTCAAAGGAGGACAATGTTTACAGAGGAGGCCAATAAAGTCCAAATGTTTGAGCAGCGGGAGGCAGACATAAATGCTGTGTGGTCAAAGCAAAAGCATTAAATGAAATCAATATGAGAAGGGGCAAGGAATTGAAGTGTATTATTTAAAGCATCTATACATCTATAAAAGCTCACATAAGTCTCTTCATCTAAGGCTTCCTTACCTGTAAATCAAGTAATGATAATTAAAAATGAATTTCTACAAAATTAATTTTGATTACCTTTAGCTAAGGAAACATCATGTGTGTGAGAGAGGAAGCTGCAGCACGCACGTATATCATAGACGAAATCGTTGAACTATCTAAGCTTTTCATACGTTTAACTCTAGCTACTCATGTGTGTTTTAAGCACAAGCTTATGCAGTCAGCTACATGCCGAATTAATTATGAGGTTTTCCCAAAAAAGACGAAAAAACCACAGATTAGCAGCAAAAGTTAAATTGCAAAAGCTGGAGCCAAATTATGTTAAAAGCTTTTTTGCTTAAAAACTTAAATATATATTAAATGAAATTTAGGTAAGGAGCAACTTGGGCCAACAAAAGGTAAGTGTTGGAAAAATTTAAATTCAAAATGAACAAATAAAATATATGAATTATTGAAAAATATATTTCAAATAAATAAATAGTGATATTTAACAGTATTTTAAAAAGAAATAAATATTTGAATAATTCAAAAATTTGTTTGATTTATTAATATAAAAAGTTTTTATTATATAGTAATTCTACAATTAAATTTAAAAAAATATATATAATTTATTATATTATTATATTTTACTTAATAAATAAGAAATTAATTTGAATATAATTGACTTGAATGCAATTAAATCTCAGAGACCTTCATATATATAAGTGTCGTATTATTAAGTTGTCTGACGAATCTGATTAACTTAAATATTATATGCATCTATTTAAACCCTAACTTAACTTTAATTCATATTTTCCTATAGACTTACTGTATATCGACGAAATATATGATAATATTTTACTGAAACAATATGAATTTTCTAAAACTTTTCTATAGTCCAGCAAAACTTTTAGAAAGTTTTCTTACATTTCACGATATAAACGAGTTCCAGTTCTTTGTTTTCAACTGCATTAATTAGCTCATATCAGACCACAAAAGTGACCAAAACAGTTGCCATTAAAACTTGGACAACAGCATAAATATTATTGAACAGCAAAAGATTTTTGTGTCGACTCGACAAAAATGTTTGACCATTGCCATAGCTAATAATGCCGACAAGAGCAGCAATAATAAGAGACTATTGTCATTATAACAACAACAATAATAATAAGCATAATAATAATAATAGTAATATCAACGAACTATTCAACGACATTTTCGGGTGTTTCTGTTGAGCTCAGCGGAAAAATGGCAGCTAAGCAACATTGAAAATAAGAGAAATAGGAAATGTTTTTGACCACTGGGCGTTGTGGGAGTGTGTAGGTGGGCGTGGCTAGCAACGATTATGCGAGTATGATTTATAGAGCAGGAGCAGTTGAAGTTTGTGCCCATTGCCCGTTGCTCGTTGATTTTTACGAGGCGCGCGATAAGAACTAACGAGAAAAGTTCCAAGAAAATTGGGCGCGTAATCGGCTCTAATGAAGAGTCCTGTGAGCGCTCGAACAATGGCTAACTAAATTTGTCATCACTCAGGTGGCTGGCAGTGTAAATACAGTCAACACCTTTCGGTCGACGCCAAAAACTTCAATGGCATCATTAAAATGCGCCGCCAACTGGGGGATGCCCGAGGTGGAGCGAGCACTCACTTAAATTGAGCTGGCAGGACACTTGGCCACTTGGCTACTTGGCCATTTCGCCACTTGGCTGGCAGCCAACATAAATATGACTTATAAAATGTTCGAAAAGGACTTTGGCAAGCAAATTGGCTTGTCAAGGCACTGAAGTAGCTGAAGGAGCAGTCAGCGAGGCTCCCGGATGGATACCTTTTTGAATTTTGTAGATATTTATGCGAAACTTGGCAGCCATTGTTGTCCAATGATGAATTGTTTGATAGCAGGAACTCTCGTTCGACGCTCGACGCTCGACGCTGTCGAGCGAAAAACAAAATATTAATCATACGCAATGTGCGCCACGCCGAACTCATTAGCAGGCCAAAGAGCACTGCTCTAAGTCAAGTGAAAAGTGGAAAAGCATTTAAGCAGCAGGAGCAGTAGCATTAGCAGCAGCAGCAGCAGCAGTCGACGAATCAGAGAAAACATTTTCAATTTACCCAAGCGAAATGTAATTTAAGTACAAATTTTTGAGACCAAGTGCCCTCGGGCTTGCCACTTGCCGATCATCAATTGGCATTTTGAAGTGGTCGACATTTTGGCTACAGCCAGCTCTGTGGCATTCACTCACTTTTGGCCTGAAAATTCATATTGAGCTAAAGCACTTCGTATGCAAATTTGTTTTAGCCAAAATGTAATTTTCAATATGCGAAGCACCCCTAACAGCCTCAAACCATTCTGCCTCGCTTTGAACTTGAGCGCCATTGGGCTCATTGGGCGTGGCACTTTATTGCTAGCGATTATCGTCGCTTCATTGGCAATTGCTACAAATTACTTTAAATGGAAGTGGAAATGGAATCCGAATTGGAAATGCCTGATGGCTGATGGCAAGTTTCATTAAACCGAAATCAAATATAAATAAACACACATTGACTTAAAGTGCAAAATTTAAGATTTATTATGAAAAGTGAAAACAATTGTCATAATGTAAGCAGCAAATGAATACTGAAATTATGACTGACAATTCATGGAATAAAGCAACTCAATTACAAATTCATTCATTTGACCTCAAGCTAAATGTTTGTCTAAGTTTCCGGACTTTTTTTAGCACATTGATTATCTGAAATATGCTAAGCTGCTAAGACTATTAAGAGTCTATAAATAAAACGCCAAATGACACTAGGCCTAATTGCTATTTATTTATAAGCTATATTAAACTTTAATTAACTTTTACAATGATGGTTTTTTCGTATATATTTATTTCTAAGTGTTTCTACTGCGGAATGCCTTTCAATACAAATAATGAAATTTTAAACGTCCGTCATTTATTTTTAGGAACCGACATTTAATACGAAGGCCTCTTTTACGGTCGATATATGGCTATGTGTGACTGCAAAAGTTTATAAGTTTCACTTATTTAATGGTATTTGCCGCCATTGTTTGTATATTCTCTTATAAATAACTTGCTCTAAGCAAGGCAATCTTTGTAGGTAAATTGAAGGCTATCAATTTCTAACCTAAGTCTATTAAGAACTTAAATAGAATTATATATATGCCTTTCTATGTGATTCTCATGAAATGCAATGGAATGGCAAGCAGGTTTTTATGCTTTTATTATATTCATATTTTAAATTCCTGTTATTGATACTATTACACATATATATATGCTAAATGTTCTATTTAATATATACAACTGCCTTATTATATGAAATAATATATCTTGTTAAAACATATGTTTATTTATTTATTTAAAATTTATTTATTTATAAACATTGATAAGTACTTTGTAAACTATTTTCATGATTGGCGAAATTCGATGAAGTAGCTTAAAGTGTTGGCAGGCAAATCGAATGGCAATCAGTAAAAAAAATTTTGAAGACAGCAAAACGAGGAAGGAGAGAGAGAGAGAGAGGGACGGAGAGGGTGGTGGAGAGGGGGACAAAAAGAGAGAGAGAGAGAGAGAGAGGCACAGTTATTGACATTTAAAGCCGGTTTAAAGGCAGCTTGTAATCATTAACAGGTGAGTGAGTGCATTGAAAATGAAACTGAGTGACCGGGAAGCGTTATTGAAAGATGATTTTGTTGTCTGCCTGGCTGGCTAGCTGCCCGGCCAGCAAACTGGGCCAAGTATGCGCGAAAAACAAAACCTAAAATAATTACAAAATGGATTGTAATTCAGGCAGGTTCAGAGACAAGCAGAAAACAGTTGGCAACACACAGACACAGCTGAGTTACCCAGAAGAGCAAAACAAAACCAAAAAGCCGAGCCAGCTGTGGGTCTGCTTCAAAGCTTTGCGCGTTGTTTGTGGCCATTTATAAGCGCGAGCTGAAGCTGCAAACGGTTTAGTTCCTCGCCGTAAACATAACTAGTCACAACATCGCGGCCCAGAGCGGAAGCCGGCGATCAGTTAGCCAGCTAACCAGTTAACCAGTTAAAGATTTAACCAGTTGAGAGCCAGGAGCAAGTCGCTCGCCAACGAGCAAGAGGCCAACAGGGGACAAAGTGAACGTGCGACTCGTTTGGCGGTCTTTTATTATTATTATTGCTCGCATTGTTGCTGCCGTTTGGCAAGACAAGAAATTCATTGTCAACACTGCCCTCGCATTCCACGCCAAAATGCCGCGCATGCCAATGATCGCGCTGCTGCTGCTGGTGCTGTTGACAATGTGGTCAACGCAATCCCATGCCCGAGCGGTTAACAAGGCTCCCGTTACAGAATCAATCGAAACACAGGACACAGAATCTGCAACGGAGGACACGCCAGCAGAGGATGACGACACAACATATGCTGGCAATATAGAATTGAATACGGTTACCATTTCGGTTGACTCCGATGTCATACTTACGACCGAGGAGGGCATACAGATGTTCACTACTCTAGCGGACATAACGACCACCGAGGAGCCGCTGCCAGACTCAGTTGTGCAGCAGCTGGAGCAGGAACGTGCCGAGCGAGATAGCCTGCGGAATAACCAGTCAATAAACACTACAGAGGAGTCAGATTCTATGGATAACACAACAGCAGCTACAAATCAAGCGGATGAAGTAACAACAACAGCTCCCACCACAACAACGCAACCAGAAACAGAAACCGAGCAGGCGGTCAGCCAAAATGAAACTGCCCAAGAGAATCTCGCTTACAGCAGCCTCAACCCGAACTCTGAAGACTCCAAAATTGATGAAGAATGGGCGCAGATGAACCTAGAGCCGATGGCTTCGCACATGGCAAATGTGGCCTCCTATGCTACCACAGAGCATACGGCCATGATCGCGGAGGAGGCGGAATCCTACGGCAACGAGCAGACCACCAATATGCCACTGATGGATGTCAATACCAGCGGATCCATCACTACGATGGAAGCAAGGGCATCGGCCACGGAGTTGACGCGTATGGAGCAAAGCACATTTATTGAAAACATAGCCGAGCAGATGGAGTCCACTACGGAAATGGACTCGATGCGTTTCATGACCACACCTCCGGCTGAGCCAGAACATGAGCCACAGGCCGAGATGATCCCTGAAGCCAAAAACACCACCTCAACTGAGCGCAGCGTAATGCACCTGCTTAGTCGCCTTAGCTTGAACACCATTACCCAGAAGCCAGGCATCGCGCCGGAGGCAGAGCTAATCACCACTGAAGAGACCATCATGCAGGCAGAGTTCACCACGGCCGGAGATTATGTGGGGAGTCTCACCGAGCCGGGTACCGAACCCACAGTTGCTGCCGAGGCAACAACAGTGGTTGCTGCCACCCCAACAGAGTCTTCAATGGTCAGCGACAGCACCGTCAGCGCACCCATCAGCACCACCACCGAGCCGATACCGATACCAACCACTGAGTTGAAAGCTCAGGCAACGCGTGCACCTCGCATCGAACGCATCTTCAACTCGGATGGCGTTGAGGTGCTCTATGGCTACTCATCGGTGGTGCGTACAAATCTCACCTAAGCGCGCGCCACATGCAAATTACCAAAAATTACCTTGTCAAGGTCAACTTGTCATACAAAACCACAACAACAACAACAACAGCAACAACATCGACAGAAAATACATTTTCGTGCTGGATTTTTCCAAATTCTAAACGAGCTAAATATTTAAATCTATTGTGATAAATGAAAAGAAGAAAGAAAGAGTAGACGAAGGAGAAGAGGAAGAAAAACAAAACTAAATAAAATAGAAATAATATTGTGCAAATTATTGTGTGGCTAAAAAAACAACGATTTTATAATTTATAAATAAAACATGAATTACAATAAACCATTTCATTTCGTGTTTGCCTTAAAGTTTGCGCAAAGACACTAGAGAGACTTCCGGCAGTGCCAACTGGCCGATACCCTGCTCGCAGTGACTCGCTATATGAATCACATATACTTTTCAAATATTTATTCTTTTATGTGAAGAGTAATTTAATCATGTGAATATCAAACTCTACAAAATTTGCTTATCAATTTCATTCAAATGCAATATAAAGTCCTCACACGCCCTCTCTCACTATGAGCAGGGTATACAAAATATGCTTCTACAAATATACGCATAGTATTTATTTTTTGGAGCTACAAATTTGGGTTTGGTATTGCATTCGCATTTGTGTACGTAAATAAAAAAATTAATAAAAAAATCTGTGAGAGAAGCGGCTAAAGTGGAAGCTTAAATACGCTGCATAGCTCAAGAGTCAAGAGAAGGCGTAGAGGAGTGGCAACCAGTCTGAGCATTAGACTCACTAACTTGTTTCACTGCCCAACTAAAGACTAAGCATTTAACTGTGAATTCTGAGACAACAACAACTTTTCTCTGATCTGATATATCGATTTACCTGGCGTATGATAATAAATTAATGTGAGGCATTATGAATTATAAAAGCGAGTCTGTACAGTGCACACAGCTAGGTGATGGCCTCTATAAAACTTAAGAGTGTATAGCATTATGGAAGATCAAACAGATGTTCACTGGACACAAGCTTTTTAATCATAAGTTTTTACTTTTACTCTACAATAGTATGTAAAGCACAACTGAAAATGACATTGAATATATCTTGATTACTACTTAAGGCTTGTCACATAAAATGATACAAGCTCAGCTAACATTTATAAGATTGTGGCCAAGTCACTTGATATCAGGTCTCTTAACTAATCAGTTTCCAGAATATCTTTCGTATGCCTCATACATCGCCTAGCTAAGCCTATTAGCTATGTGCAGGGTATCTAATAGCCAGCAGCAATGAACTGCAACAGCTTAGCAAACTTTTTGGGAGCTGCTCTCAGTCAACCCACCAGCGAAACTGTGTGCTGCCCACCTGTGTTGAAAAACCGGCATTAGCCAAAGTAATCGTCATACATTTTTGGGCTTTAATGTTCCGGCATGAACCGACGCAGACGCAGATTCCAATTGGGGCCCAGTTGCAGACACGTGGATGGTGACTGGTCCATGAAATCGAAGCTGCAAATCTGGTTTGACAACACATATTCATTCATCGATGTCGTCGATAAATACACCTATATATCCATATATTATATATTTGATATACATATAAACGATATGTGTGTATCTGATTAGTTGACTTAGGGCTTTTGGGTTTAGCAATGATTATCACGTTTCCATTCGAAAGAGTGGGCAATGAAATAAATACACACGGCGTGCTCATTTCCATTCGAACTTGAGACAGGCGCTAAAATGCATGTTGATGCGGGCTATGTAGCTGATAAAGAAGAAGAAGAAGTGATTGAAGGTTTTCAGCCAAGCGGGTTTTTTCTCCACCAGCTGACTAATCGAACCGTTTAAACTGATACACATAAACGCGAGCTATTATTAATCAGTAAAGAATGTGAGCTGCGCGCCTGAGATTTAGAAAAATAGTTATTTGTTTAACAGATATATACTATATTATGGGAAGCAGAGCCAACAACATGGTGCTAATATCGGTCTCTCTCTCTTGATATACTAACTTAAAAGTTGAGTCTGTCGCGTTGCCTTTTGTTATCTTTGCCGATCTTTATCTCTCACAGTATCGAGAGTGAAACTGATTATTCATTCTCTTTATCTCTCCATCTGTCTATCTCTCTCACACAATCTCTCACACACTCTCTCACTTTCTCACACTCTCGCTCTGACTCAGTCTCTGTTTTTCTCGCTCTGCCTCTCTCTGAGAGAGACACTCCCACTCTATCTCTCTTTTTTCTGTATCTCGCCCCATCTCTTTCTATACCTCTTTGTCTCTCTCTTTCACTTTCCCTCTCTTTATACCTCTCTTTAGCATTTTCTATCTCTCTTTACCTTTATCTTTCGCGCGCTCTCTCCCTCTTATTTTCTCTGCTCTCTCTCTCTCCTTCTGCCATTTTTTCATTCTCATTATTTCCATTTCTATCTCTCATTCTTTCTCCTCCTCTCTTATTCTTACTTTTCTCTTTCTCCTTCTCTCTCCCATTCTCTCTTTCTCTTTCTCTCTCTAAAATGAATGTACTCTTATGCTTCGTCCGTCACACTTTCTTGTACTCTTTTGCTCTAGTTCCTGTGTATAAAGATTTGAAAACTCTATTAAATTAAGCTCCAGTTTAAAAGTTTGCTCACAGTTTGTTGTCAAAAAGCTTCGACAGATTTTCTACAATTTCGATTGCACCCAAAAGTCGGCTTGACTAAAATAGACTTGAAGCATAGATATCAGAAAGCTTGAGCTTTTGTCACTTGGACCTGTTTATAATTATTGTCGTAGTGCTAATCGTCATTGTAGATATGATCATTTCTAATATTCTATATACTAAAACCCATATAATTTTTTAGATTTTTTTATTAATTGTTTTGTTTGTATATACCGTTTGAACGTGTCAAGAAACCAGTCAACCGATTTAGCCGCTCGTCGCTGGCTATATAAAGCACAAAGCAATCTTGCATTTGTCAATTATTATAACAACGATGAAGTTCTTCGTGCTGTTCGCTATTCTGCTGATTGCACTGGTGGCCGTTCAGGCAGCACCGCAGCGCGGTGGCTTTGGTGGCCCAGGTGGTCCAGGTGGACGCGGCGGCGGCGGTGGTGGTTCCAGCGCCACAGCCAATGCAAACGCTAGCGCCGTTTCCCAGGGCAAGGGTAATGCATCGGCCACTGCCAATGCCAATGCCGAAGCATCTTCTAGTGGCGGACGCGGCCGACACGGTTAACGAGCATCATCAGCACTCAACGGAACACGAACTATAAAATATTAAATAAAACCATTTTATTATCAAAATAAAGTTTGTTTCATATAACGGGTAAACTTAAAATAAAAAGCGAAAATCTAGCTAGCGATCCGAAACTAGTAAATTAATAGACCTGTTTTATCTGAGATGAGATTAAGTGCATCATTAGCACCAACTGTAAATATCTATAGATGACTCAGCATTAAAGAGAGAGAAACTTCTAACGGCTCAAAGTACATATGGTATATATACTTAAATCTATATACATATACTTAAACCTATATACATAGAAAAAATACGATTTTTATATAATACATAAAATTAATTAAAAATATGACTGGGGAAATATTGAAGCAACGTCATCTTTAAAGCTTAGCTTGAAATGAAAATAAAAGTGTGTCAATTGTTAAGAAAATGTGGATCCCAATGATCGATATTCACATTAGGTTTTTACTGCCTTATACCTGTTATGGAAATACTACAAATCATGGGTCTAAAACAAATTGATATATATACAAAATAAATGTCTAAGTATATATAAACAAGATATGGAAAAAATATTAAGAATCTATAAAATACATTATAATAAAGTATATATTATTTATTTTTTTTTTAATTTGTATAAAGATTTAATTTTTGCAGAGTCTTACATAAAACTAAAACAATTTGTATCGCCTCTTATAAGGTAAATATCTTACATTTGCATATGATTGACATCGATTTAGATCAATGAAATCCCGTTTAGTTTCGACTGACATCACTGGCTCTAAGATATCACAAGACTATTATACATTTTGCTACTGTTATGTTATCTAGCGAATTTAGCACTAACTTTGCCGTTTTCTTTTTGCAATTAAATATTTTTAAGAGCATTTCTATCAAAATATTCCTTTTTTGTACTTGAAACGTATTCTAACACTTAGACAACATTTTTGAGACAATAGGGTTAATTAAATATACTTTGTTTATTATTCAAGTGTGACCAGTCAGTCACTTGCCAAATTATCGAAATCAGCAACTGTCTGAACAACGTAAAAGTGCTCGAGTCGGGAGTAGGCGAACCTCCGATTCGCTGTAAGCGGATCTTTGAGATCTTAAGATTTTCTATAAGAAGAAATATATACAAGAAATCGGGATGAATTGCACGAATTTATTTCGCAATTAGTTTGTTGTTTGACTGTGACGAGATCATCATATCTGGCTGAATATACTGCCTTCTGCATTCTCCATTCACAATAATGAAGACAATACTTGCTTCGTAGCCAAAATCAAAAATAAACCACTTTACCGGACTGAGAGGAGACATGATCCGGACGGGATAATTGAATTCTTCCCGAAGTTTTCAAAGCTAAAAGTTTTATAATCCAGTCACGGCAATTCTAGCTAAAGGGGTGAATAAAAAAGGAATTCAACTTCTCAGTAGCTTTTAGCCCTCCACGGGTCTTTTAGTCTTAAGCCAATGCAGTTTCCAAAAATACAAATTTAATTTCAATATAAAGTATTGATAGCCATAAAAAAAATAAAAATTATAAGTCCACGACAATTAGAGGAGTCTACGATTAGCCGCTGCCGAAGCCACCAGTATTAAAGGGCTATATCCAGCGAACTGAAGTTTTGGGCTCTTTAAAAATTCGCAAAAGATCTTTATCTTCGCACTGCCACTTCGCTTTCGGCGTGTATTTTGCGGCTTTGACGACTTTTTAGGCCTGGACGACTTTGATGGCGATTTTTGTGCCTTTTGCTTACACTTGGCGAGTTTATTTCTGGAACAAGCGCTTGCACCTCCTCTACCACGCTTGTCACTAGACTTATTATCGGCCAAAAATTTTTGATAATATATTAGCGAGAACACGAGCACAAAAAAGGCGATTACGACGATAGGTCGCATGATATTAGTGATCACATCTATGTAAAAAATCAAAATGTATAAATAATATTTATATTATTCCTTAAAAGTTATAAAATATATGTAGCCTATTCAAACTTATAATTTTGTTGAAGTTTTTAGTTGCTTCAGTAACTCAATAAATAATGAGATTCATTAAATCTTTATGCCTTGACATAAAAGAAATGTGAGTTATGTCGCATTGGTTATTCGATTCAGATTTTCGAATTGATTTTACGAGGCTTTTTTACACTTTAATGAATGTAAGGGAATATCTTAAGCATTCCTCATCACATCTGGATGAAGCTGCTGCCTTCTGCTTTCACGATTCACAATACAAGAAGCCAATATACTCTTTTACAAGTTCAGAACTCAGTGTATGATAATTTGTGAGGTAGCTAAAACAAATTTGCATTTCTGCAGAACAGCTGCCGTAGGCAGAACCCGTTTTGTCTCAAATATATTGCTTGGATTTGCTTAAGCAATTTGCATCATTAGTGGGAACATAATATGTATAAGCAATAGGCCCCCGCTCAACATCTCAATAAACATTGTTATTAACTCACATTTCTTTGTTATAAAAGATACTTGGATTTCAAGACAAAAGAATAATAATATAATAATATCAATTTTAAACTGATATAGAATAGGGGAATCTATAAGAGCTTGAAAGCGAATCAAATGTAATTTTTTATATTCCTTCAGACCAAATCAATCCTTCACTTTCTAAGGACACTTATATTGTCTATCGCACTTCCAACTACTTATTTTGCCAAGTGTATTTTTTTACTACCTGCATATCTAATTAAGTCATTTGCAGGTCGATGCATTAGCAAGAATATAATAATAGCAAAATACGTTTCAAAAATATATTCAGAATTAATTTTATAGTCGTCTGGCGAGATCAACTGTATAATATCCGTCCTTATTTTTGAGGCGACGATATACTTTTTTAATAATTTTTTAGTCTATCTGAAAACCCCTTTTTAGGAATATTTAAAGACTCGCACGACAACAATGATCTCCAGCTTAACGGCGAAATGCATTGCGTTCATATACAGACAGAAACAGAACATAATTAAAATTGCTCAAAACAAATATATCCACCGAGTATAAAGAAAAATAAAGCACAAAATCGGCTAGATGGTCATGATATAAGACGACGAACTTACACTGAACAAAATCCTGAAATGAAACCACACTCTGTGAATTGACGATTTACATTGACTTCTGTATCTTCATCATATTCTGAGGTTATCGGACAACAAATTACGATCGGTACTTGAGGCACTGATTCCGTCTTCATAGCCTTCACAGGGGATTGCCTTCATAACACTCTTCCTGCTACCGCTTGTCTGGACTGCTTTGAGAAATCTGCAAATAATTAGAATCAATTTAGTGCTTGGCAATAATTTCAGCTTAACTTTTTACAAGAAATTTTCCTATTCATACAGTCTAGCTATTCATTAATTTTGATGACTTGAATCTGTAGGAAAGTTGGCTTTTCCCTGTGTAGTTGTCATAACTCAGCCATGCTAGCCATAATATAATTGTATGTTTTATAATATATTGTATGTTGTATATTAGAGGACTACACGATTGCGGATACCAACAGCATAATAAAGCTATATCCAGAGAATTTCAGTTTAGGGCTCTTAAATATTTCAGAAAAGATTCTTATTTTTGCACTACCACCTCGTCTTCGGTGTGATGAGCCATAATGCGGTCTCCAGTGCCCTGAAGGCCTTGGATACGTTGGAGGTCTTGAAGGCTTTGAAGGCTTTGGTGGCCTTGATGGCCTTGATGCCTTTCGTTCGTTTTGTAGCCTTAACGGTTTTAGCTCCTCTTGGGTCCCTTGGGTATTTTTGTCGAAACTGTTTCCGGAACCAGCGGTTCTACCTTCTTTGCCACTCACAGCCTTATCATAAGACTTCTCATCGGCCATTAATACTTGTAAATATAATGCTGTGAGCCCGACCTCAAAAAAGATAATAACAAGTCGCATGATAAACCTGATCACAGCTATACAAGAGTATCAAACTAGATATTTATATTATTTTTTAAAAGTTAATTGTTTATAGCCTATTTTAACTTATAATTTTTTGACATTTTAGTCGTCTTTTTACTTAACGAGCTATCTATTCGGAACTTTATGAATCAACGTAAACGAAATGTGAGTTATATCGCTTTGGTTATTCGATTCAATTCAGTTGAAGAAAGTCAAATGGATTGGTGATATCTTCCAATAGATATATGAAAACTCGCTCATGACCTGATCCCATGGAAAATGGGGGATCATGGTATAATGTTTTTGTTAAAATGTATGTTACTTGCAGGAGGCGTGGCATACCCTATAAAATATATATAGAGACTCCAAACGTTGTATTTGGTTTTATATATATGTTATATTTATTTTTTTATTTAAGATATCGACTCGGAATTGCCCCAAGTTCATTAAATTTAGTTGAAAATAGGGAGAATATGTGAAGTAGTTTGCTTTTTGACTCGGCTAACAAATCCGTTTATTTTGGAAATCTAGCTTCAACGGCTAAAACATTATGATCAAATTACAAAATTAAACTCAAAATCGGTTAGAATATATTTATAAGGGAACTAATAAGAAAAGAAAATATATAACCCCTGCGACAGCTATTAGACGGTTGACTTTCGAGACTTCCTATTTGAATTAAAATGTTTCTTCAGTTATGTATACATATATGAGAAAGCTCACATAAATCTGTTAATTGCCTATAATATATTTAAGCAAAATAACTGGAGAAACTAATAGAAATGCCCTATTAAACTTTCTAATTTATACACTATTTAAAAACCTTACTTGGATGGAGATGATGAACTTACGCTACGCTCTTGAATTGACGAATTACATTGATGGCTGTATCGTCATCATATTCTGTGGTTATCGGACACCAAATTACGATCGATACTTGAGGCATTGATTCGGTCTTTACACTTTACAAGAAATTTTCCTATTCATATATTTTAGTTATTTAATCATTTTGATGGCTTGAATCTGCAGGGAAAATTCTCCTTTCTGTAATTGTCATGACTCAGCCATGCTAACCATGAAATACAATATATTTTTTATATCAGAGGAGTCCACGGTTAGTCGCTGCGGAAACTACAAGCGTAATCAAGCTACTTCCAAAGATATTCAGTTTAAGGCTCCTGAAAATTTCGGAAAAAACTTTTGGCTTTGCACTTCCATCTCTATATCTATTTCCATTTCCATGTCCAAAACCGGAAAATTTCGGTCCCCTTTTTGTTGACGGATCTGCCTGCGCCTCATGTCTGGCGAAACCAGCGCGTTCAACTTCTTTACCACTCACAGCTTTGTCAGCAGACGCCTCAACGGCGAAGCATCCTTGTGAACACACAGCCGCGAGCACGGCCACAAAAAAGATTATAATGAAAAGTTGCATGACAAAACTGATGCAGCTACACAAAAGTATATATATATACTTTTTTTTTTTAAAACTATAAAATGTTTATAGTGTATGAGAACTTATAATTTTGATGACATTAATCGTTGTTTCACGACTCAGAAAATAGCCTCTATAAAATGTGTGAGCCTTTAAGTAAACGAAATGTGAGTTATATCACTTTGGTGATTCGACTCAATTTAGTTTCAAAGGAAAATGGATTGGTGACATTTTCCAACTGGATTGTCTAGCACCTGACTGTATGCAGATAGATTCACTCGCCCATGGTTAACACCAAAATAATGTCGTACGAATAAAAAATACAGTGAATTACAACAGATTGAATATATGGCTGCCCCAAAATTTATTTATTACATCAACTGTATTACTTTAAAGTAGGAGCATTAGACGAGAACCCGAGTAGCCGATACAGCAAGTAACAATGTAATTGATCCAGCGAAATGGCGATGTGGTCCATGAAAGCATTGACCAAAAACATTGTTCAATGCGTATGCAGCATTTTTCTTCTTCTTTTTCTTTTTTTTCTTTTTCTTTTTGCTGCTGTCCTTGAAAAAATCACCTTCTCTTGCTTGTGGAATGAATTGACTTTGCTTAGGCACTTCACTAAGCAGTTCTTTCGTCTCATTACCTGCCAAACTCTTCACACTAGTATTCTCATCACCATTATGTCCCTGAAATTGTACTAAAATTATCAGGGCCACCAGCAAACTGATTAGAAGCAAATTATGCATTTCAAGTTTGCAGATATATGATCTGCGTAAGTGTATATCAAAGGCCAGAAAACTATGGAATTTATCATCAATACTACAAAGCCAAAGTTAAAATCAAACAATTTTGAAGACTCAGTTTACTCTGTATCTGTTCAGAAACAAAATACAAAACTCTCTGAACATTTTTGTGTAAAGCCTTGTACTTTGTGATATTTGTGACATATGGCCCATTGCTAATGCGATTCGGTTTGATCATTATTTTCTCGAAAAAAACAACATGTTAATAAAGGCTGCGTTTCTGGATGAGAGGTGATTGGAGATATCACCGAAATAGTAGCATGAAATCATCGCTTTTTCTTCAAATAAAAATATTATATTCCAGCTTATTTTGAATGAGGTACGCAGATAAACAACTTCGCATCTCGCTGCTAATCACATTAGGAAGGTAAAGTAAAAAAAAACCAAAGAAGGCTGATATCAAACGGAAACATTCCGTGAATGACCTCAAGATAAGGATAGCATAATCAACTTTTTTATATATATTTATTTAACAAACATAAATAAACTAAATCACTTAAAAATTCTTTTCAATTCGGAATGGCTTATCGCATATCAATTCGCTTGGGTTCAACCGCGTGCATTGGCAACGGAACTGGATGAGGCATTGGCGTTACCGCCATTGTTGGCCGAGGCATTGGAGCTAGAGGAAGCACTTGCGTTGCCACCGAAACGACCGTTGGAGCTGGCATTGGATGAAGAGGAAGCGCTGGCACTGGAGCTGCCGCCACCACCGAAGCGACCACCGCCATTAGAAGTTGCACTTGCCTCGGAATTGGCATTGGCACTAGAGCTACCACCTCCGAAACCACCTTGGCCGCCGAAGCCGCCTGGACCGCCGAAGCCGCCTGGACCGCCGAAGCCGCCTGGACCGCCGAAGCCGCCTGGACCTTCAGGACCGCCAAAACCTCCACCATTAAAGCCACCAGGGCGACCCGGACCTTTGCCAAAGCCTGGTCCATTGTGGCCACCTTCTGCCTGAGCGCTAGCATCAGCATTGGCATTAGCAGCGCCTCCGCGGAACTGTGGTGCTGCAGCCACCACGGCCAGAATAATGCTGAGCACAATGAAGATCCTCATGTCGCTGCTTGTCCGAACTGTTTGAAATCAGCTAACAAACTTAATGATTTGCGCCAAACGACTCGCCTTTTATAACACTAAACACTGATCTAGCCAAGCTAGACGACGACATCAATTAGCATAGTTACATATAGACGAAAATCAGAAAAGTAGACAAAACAGCTAAGCTGCTGAATTATGATAGCATTAGCTGCCGACAACAGATTCAAGCTAATCGAATTGGATTTTGTGACGGAGGAAAGTGTGCAAATCTCTTGGGGTACATAGATATTTGATCTAGGTTTCTCTGAAACCGGTTAAAGGCTATATATATTGAAATTTAACTGCTCTTCAATGATTTTTTGTTTTCTTTCCATTTTTGCCAGTTGAGTGGGCTTTGTTTGGCTTCAATTCACGTCTGGCTTATATATACTTATGTATACTTAGCTTCGGTACTTTTCTTTAGGTATTTTTTCTGTTGTGATTTGCTGAATGTTTACCAATCATAATGCTTTACCAATAACTCACATTCATATGATATTAAAAATAAATGCTCCGCAATGATTGAGTATTTTTTAAACAACTAAACTGAGTTGGCTCACCGGTTTTTCCTGATCATTTTTTGATCATAGGAATCGTTACAAGAACAATTTGTTTGCATAGCCCGAGTCTTCCGATGTTTTGAACAGCAAAATATATATTCAAATTTGTAACTTGTTTCATAAATGGAAGGCTTCGGCCCATTTATATGCTAAAACGCTGCCAATCGGCGTTCGAGATAAGAGGTATATCACTTTGGATCCGTTAGTTCGATATTTTTTTGGTTTGTTTTGATAACAGAGGCCATAAAAAGTTTTAGATTTGATTTCACCACAACATGATCAAGGTCCATAAGGCATTCAGACTTGAATCCAACGCAAATCCCAAGCATCCAAGCAAATAAGTGTTCTGGTCGAGCATGCTTGACTAGCAGATACTCATTTAGAAGACCTACAAAACATTTTCAGACCATAAATATGACATTCAAATTCAAAACTCAAGGCTTTACCTTCAAAAATGTATTCCAATGAAACTGATAAGCAATTAGAGCATAGTTGTATTAGTTATAGAAAAACGAAGCTCAAATTTATTAATATAGATTGAATTATATTTATAGCCCTTTCAAATAATTTTAGAACAATTTTGTTTGCTCAGATTTCACGTAATCTGAAATTCATTTCAAAATTTAAATTAATCAGCAATTTTTCGATTGCTTAGAGCTGTCATAATTTGGCTTCAGCTACTAAAATAGCACCTCTAATACCCTAGCTCACAGTCCAAATTGAAGTCTTCGCCCGCCTGTTACATATATTTGACAATAATCATTATACCCTATGCACAGCAGTTATCGATGGGTTCAAAGTATAGGAACAGGCCTGTAATCGCTTAATTTAGCCAATATAATCTGCTATCTAGTTTTTAATTATCAAGAACATAAACTATATATTCAAATAAGCTGCTTCAACACTACGTACCACACTATCGAGCATAAAATGTTGTTTATACTGCCAACTTGACAGCTGATAAACATAGCACGAATACAATTATATTGATTATAAAATATTTTAGATTTTTTCTGTTTGTTTTTTATTTTGTTTTTTTTTTTTTTGCTATTAAATTATTTAAATTTATGCTGCTGAGCTTACTTTTAGTATTTTATTTTTTATATAAGAAAAGTCAAGACGGGAACTATAAAACTTTGTTACTCCAGCTTCCCTTATTTTGTCATTTATAGTGGAATTTTAGTCAGATTATAGATTTTGATCAACACTAACTCCCACAAAACTTAGATAAGTCGTGCTTAGGATAAGGTCAAAAGTGATTGACCTGTCGAAAAGGTTGATTCTAGCTTTAATGCTCTTCCAATTTACTATGTTTTGAATATGTGTCTAGGCGGCTATACGTAAAGTTTGTCCAATTTGCTGTGTCTCTAGTTCGAATATTGGGCCTTAAACTGAATCGAATATATGTGTAGAGTATTTCACAGTTTGCCAAAAAAGTTAATATAAAACCAATAAGCTCTATTAATTCTTATGCCAATCGAATATCATTATTTATTATACATAAAGACCTCCCAGACCTTAAACAATTCCAACGAGCAAACAGAGTAAGGCTAGCTGAATCAGAGCAACAGCTAAAGTGAAATAGCAAAAACCCATGGCTTGCTCTTAAAATAATCTCATTCCATATCGCACGTATTTCTCTTCGCTTTTAATGACAGAGACTTTTCCAGTTTACCATGTTTTCAATGTATATAGTCAGCTGAATATTAGTTGGATAAGGGCATGAATGGAAGGATGATTTAACTGTCTCTCAATGCAAAAGACAACTCCAGAGCATAATTAAAATAAAAAATATTAAAACATCAAAATATTCCTTAAATAGAAATTGTCTTATAGGAACAGAAACAAATCTAATCAACATGAACAATATTAAAATCATTATACGATAAAAGCTAACCAGGTGAACAGGTGAACAATGAATAACTATAAAACTATTTGAGCGAATGCTATAGCTTTCAGTTTTGTCTGGACCATATAGAAACTATAGAAAATATAATATAAATTATATATAACTATCTGTCGGTTATTAGAAACAGTGAATAGCGACAGCCGATCGGTTCTTAGTCCTTGGTTTTTTTATTCACATTCGTTAACTCAATCATTTATTTTAATTACAATTTATTTATCTAATTATATAGGGCTTATCGGCCGAATCCACTGTGCGTGTTGGCATTAGCGTTGGCGTTGGCGTTAGAGCCACCACGGCCACCTGCGTTACTACTGGCAGAAGCGCTGGAACTGGCTGAGCTGCCGCCACCGCCAAATCCACCACCACCACCGAATCCGCCGCCACCAAATCCGGGACGACTACCGAATCCGCCGCCACCAAATCCGGGACGATCACCGAATCCGCCGCCACCAAATCCGGGACCACCACCGAATCCGCCGCCACCAAATCCGGGACCGCCGAATCCGCCACCGCGATTACCGCCGAAACCACCGGGACCTCCGAACCCGATACCGGGACGATTTGTGAATCCAGGGCGTCCACCACCGAATGATTGCGCATTGGCATTAGCGTTGGCGTTGGCATTCGATAGGCCACCTCCGAACTGAGGTAGGGCCGAGGCAGCGGCAACCAGCACGGACAGAGCGATGAACAGTTTCATGATGAGTCTTCGAGCTGACTTCACAAACTTAACTCAACAACTGTCTGCCGGCGACTTTTATACATTTCAGTCCCGGGGATGTCCCATGGTCACAGACCCAATCAGCTGGTCACAGATAGTGATATATAGAAACAGACACATACACAGAGAGCGATAGAGGCAGAGACAGAAAGAGAGAGAGAGAGACGCAAATCAAGGGAAAGCGGGATCATGAATACAATATGGATTTATGCACAAATACTCAAACAATTCTGATACTTTATTGGTTTTGCGTAACGTCAGATTCACAGATCCCCAGATTCGGTTTCAGTTTTGTTAACTACAACAACAGTAACAAAAACAATGAGAGGGGAAAATAGAACAAAAACAACAAGCAGCAAATGATCGTCAAAACGAATTATAAAAGTATTGTCAATTAGCTAGCCCATAAACGACTATGACATGATGCCTGTGCTCTACACCCCGCCGGCGAGTCACATCAACCGGTTGGCTATCACCTGTTTATTTAGTCCCTCTGCTACCTCTCCACCAATATCGTCAATGCCTATGCTTGACGTGCCCCTGGCTCCACGCTATTCTAGACTTTGGCTAGCTTAAGCTTAAAACACAGGCGAAAATGGTCAAAACAAACAGTAATCCAAATGCTGTTAATATAATCTTATATCTAGTTTTTAATTATCGAAGCAAATAACAAATATTCTTGATTACCTTACAGAACAGCTTAATGCTAAAACCAAAAAACTTGGAAAAAAAACCTTTTTCATTGAAATGTTTCATAAAAAAAACTATTTCTATATATAAATAATTTATTATTGTAGTATTACTAAGTATATTTACTATCCTTCATATATCCTAGCTGTAAGAACTAGTTCACTGAACCACTTTACGCCACGCTTTCGAGCAAAAATATTATTTTTCTTGGCAAATCCAAAAAAATAATTTATTCTGATTCGTATTTTTTTTTATTTTCCTTCATTTGAATTTTGTTTGTTTCTAGTTTAGTTTCTTTTCCTAACTAATTGCATTTTAAGGTATTGTAATTTATACTGACCACATAATGAGCTGAATTTTAATTATCTTTTTATTTTCGCTAATTTCCAGCCAACATCTTTTTGCTATTAGCATTCTCTTTCTCAACTCTTTTCGCAATTTGATCAGTTCCAAAAAAGTATATAACATTCGAATACTATCTTTTTTTTATTATTTCACTTCATTCATTATATAATATGAGTTAAAAGCCAGTCGATTATACTTTTGGGACTAACAAATAATTTATTGCCGGCATATATTTATATAAAACTCCAAAAAATATGCAACATTTAATTCCGAGAAAGCATTTCGAATGTGAAGTGGGGAATACTCCTAAATAACTAAAGTTATTACGCAATTCAAATAATCTTTTAAATTGAAACTAGGCTAACTCCTAATAATTACTACTAGTACTACTCCTACTAACACTACTCCTTACAAAACTACTTCTTCTACTTATACTACTACTTCTTCTACTACTTTTACTACTACTTCTTCTACTGCTAAGTTTTCTACTACTACTCTTATTTCTACTACTACTTATATTTCGCCTACTACTCCTACTACTTCTACTTCTACTACTACATATACTTCTAATACTACTACTTATACTACTACTACTGTTGTTACTACTCTTACTACTACAACTATTACTACTAACTCAACTGTACCCCATTGAACTGTCGCCGAACCCGACTATTTTTTGTGGTTTGCCGAGCATTAGCTGAAGCGTAGCTTGAGACTTGTATGTGCGAATATTTTAATTGTTCTCGTCACATATATGCCGAAATTAACTGCCTCTTTATACAGCTTTTTTAGGTTACGATTCGCAATTGATAAACATAAACAAAAAAGCAATATAAGAAACCAGAAATATAAACAATCAGCTGAAAAGTTTTACTTCCCAATAACAACAGACGAATAATAATTTTAGACGAATTTCAAGTATATCCGTAAAACGAAGAATTAAAAGGTTTAGAGATATGTCCACTTTGGATTTCGAGCCGGAGTAAGTATCTTACATAACTTACAAACCACTCAAATGGAAACTTTATTCCGCTTCACTAAAGCCTCTGAGTATCTCTTTCCTACAACTTGTTTGTTGCTTAGTTTGAGCTAAATATTTAACGTAAACAACTATTTATTTAAATTGTATTTAAAATTATCAAATTTACATGCATACTAATATACATATTTACATATTACTAATATAATTATAATCTCTAATCAGAATGTTTAGGTCAGACGACATAGACTCAGCCGCGGAAACGTCCACCGGCTGACGCAGAAGCCGAAGCTGAGGCAGAAGCTGAGGCGGCACCGCCACCCGCTGCCGATGCACTGGACGAAGCAGCAGCTGATGATGAGCCACCGCCGCCGCCGCCACCGCCGCCGAAACGACGACCGCCACCACCCTTGCGATAGCCACCACCGAAACCACCGAAGCCACGACGGCCGAAGCCACCACCGAACTGAGGCAGTGCAGCCGCAGCGGCAATCAACAGGACGAGCACAAATAAAATTCTCATAGCGGCGAATCGATAAATCGAACTGATCGAACTTAACTTCAAGCTGGTAGCAAGCAAACTGATTGACCTATGTCAGGCCTTCAGCTTATTTATACAAAGAGCGTTTAGCGTTAAGCGTTAAATCGAACTCGTCAATTGGCTATCATTAATGAGCACATGAATTCTCGCCTCTCAGCATGAGCAACTCGCGCTTTCTATGCCTTAGTTCAAGTTATTAACTACGCCTCTATCAGCATCATTATAATTATAGACGTCAGCGAACAGGAATGCTCAGAACAGTGGCTGCAGCTTGAGTTGGCAATACCCTAGCTCGAATAGGTAGTAGAAAGCTATCGATCAAAGGTGCGGCAAGCAGTCAAAAAGCCATGAAACTGTACAACTTGAGGATATAAAAGAGAAAATTATATCGTAATAATTATCGATATATTAAGTTATAAATATTCGTTAAAACATAAATCTATCTCAATTTCAAAACAAAATAAAGAATATACCAACAATACAAATATTTATCTGCTTCTAGAATATATTGTTTTTTATTATAGCCAGATTCTTAAAAGATTCATCAGTTAGAGATGCTTACACAGAACTGTTAAATACCCGATTGGCATGCTTAAATGTTCGCAGGGTATTGTCCATTTCACTTGGTGCAGCTGCCTGAGGAGGTAAGTCCCCGAACCACTTCAGTGTTACATTAAATGTTATCAATCAAATGTGTAATGCGGTTTCCACAAAACTCCTACACATACTTTTAACGCAATTACAATATTTGTTACATGATGGTAATTTATTTAATAGATTTTAAGCATGAAGCGCAAATTAGTTAACCAGAAAAAAATCCAGTTTAAGGTCTACCAAAATTAAATCCGGGTCTCCAAGAGCAGAACCAGATCTATCACTACCAGATCCAGGTCTATTACATACAAAAAAAGTTGCTTAATTTATAAAAGCGAGCGTCTTTTAAGTCACGTATTTACACTCCAGCTAAGAAGCCATTTGCATTTACCAAATATAATATAAAATTTGATCTTATAGCAACGACCTTGTCCGAATGGCCAAGGAGTGAGAATTAGAGGATAGAAGCTAAGAAAAGCTGTCAGGCTCACACTAATACTGCTTCAACAGTAGAAGGCCATCAAGTAAAATAGAATTATTTAACTTAGAAAACAAACTATTCTATTCATTTCACAATGACTTTATAATATTGCAATTCGATATATACAGAAGAATGTAAAATTATTTTCATTTATTCTCAGCAGATGAGAATGCGACTGATCCACGATAGCCGAACCACCCAAATATATATGCTGCCTGAGTGAAACACTCGAAACACTCGAACTCAGAGTGGATCTCTAAGGTTCGAGTGACAAATTTAATATCGAGTGAAAATGGAGCATCTCATCCCATTTACCGGTTTTGTTTACGTTCACTTTAAATTATTAGCTTTGAGTTCATCTCGCGCAGCGCTATCAGTGTTTTTAACTTAAAAGATCAGCTTCTTGGTCGCTTTCATTTGATTTGGTAATTTTATTAGTCAATAAGACAGTATAAACCTGAGTTATATATTTTGCCTGCCTATTGTCCAGCGTTAAACCTAGTTAATGACACTATATACAGTCTTGCTCTTACAGGAATTACAAACATAGCAAATGTACAATGCATTAGCTGCTGCTCAGTAGGTGAATCGCAAGCTGTGTTCTGTTGATGTTTATTAAAATATTTTAGCAAAACTTTAAGCTCACTCAAGCAATGCTAACATATGCTTAAAACTTTAAGAAGAAATCAATGTGAACATAAATTTATTTTAATAAAAACTTTGTGTTTTTCAAAAACTTTCAGGCTAAGCAGCAATGAGCTCTGCTATTCGAGCAAAGCCATTTTTTTATGTTTATATTTAGAAACATTGGAAACATTCGAAAATAAAAAAACTGGTTTTTGGTTTTTTACATTTATTTACGAATTTTGTTATCACGAATCGGCGCACGGGGCATAGGCGCAAAAGCTTTAAGCACCGCCTGCTACAGAAATAGACGCAGAGGCAGAGGCAGGAACGACCATCTAAAGCATAAGAGTTTGCAGCGGCTGAACCACCTACATCTCTACCAGATTTAAGTACTTGTATCTCATTCACCAGCTCGCTCTGCTTTTAATTTTAAGTGTAAGCCATGGCTTCATGATGAGCAGCTTCATCACAGCTAACATCAAAGAACTTAACGATCTCATATTTGTATGTTTGTGAGTTGAAATTGACCACTATGACATTATCAGGTTCTACGACAGTAAAACACCTTAGGTTCTTAAGTCAGGAATTGCTTTCAAAGTTATTTTACTTTTACCGCAAAATGTTTCTAAGAATTGTTTATCTGTTATTTGAACAATAGCTTTCAGATCAAAAGAACTTGCACGCACATGCATTCAGATGGTATTTAAACTACGTTGCAATTGCCATGTCAGTTAAATATGATAAATTTCTAAAAAAGCGCAT